GGACGCTTATTGAACTTGCACAAGTTGGACGATAGGTTGCAAGCGAGGGCCAGAGACGACAGGAAGAGCAGCTGCAATCTCATGGTTACGTCAGTCAAACATTGCCCTATTTCTCTTACTATCCCGTGTGACACCAGTACATCGAACTTCCGAGAGGTCATTACAGGTTCCTCCTTTCCCACGTGCACAGTCAGACACCTAAACTGAACAAGCACGGAAACCCCAGCTGTGTGGAGCAGCCACATCCAGCTGTTGAAACACTCGTGCCCACCTTGGCAGGGATCAAACCTGTTAAGAACAGTCGCTGGCCTGTCCTAACTTGCAGCTGTTTGGGAAAGCACACATTGCCATGGCCAAAATCATGCCATTTGGGGACCATTCTAACTATGGAAAAGTGCAGGTGGTGGAATTCCAGGGCCCCGAAGCATCCTCTGGTAGACGCTTCATTATAACACAGCGCAGCCAATCGCTAAACACTCAAAAAAAAAAAAATCAGGTCATACACATCTTCAAACACTCCCTCCCAACAGGCATTTCTGGTCTCACTGTTTCTGTACCATATTCTCCGCGTCATTCATCAGCAGATGCTGACCTCCTCAGACCTCACAGGGACACTACTATGTTCATATAACACAGGGACTATAATCACGAGTACCACAGAAAAAGCCATTAGAAAATTTTATCTTTGGTGATCCTTTAAATCAGGCAACAGGGACAGTGAAGGAAGAGAAAAAAAAAAAAACAACAACTAGTAATGTTGGCTCATCCAATGTATATGAAACAAATTTCACAAAAAAAAGGAAAAAACCCTTCGTATGGTCATGCAATTAAAGACTAATTCATAACGTGAATTCGCAACTTCAGTTCTTTCCTTTCTTAAGTTTTGATGTAAAAACATGGCCATTTTTTACCTTTTAAATTGATTCTTAGACTACACATACATATTTAAAAATGGTACTAGAACAACCCTTTGGTGCCTCACACCAAACCTAACACCAGCATTTCAAATCTGTGTATAGTATCATACCAGCTTTTTCTCCAGAAGTCAGAAAGCCATTACTTTTAGATTTAATAGAAGAGTGTAAAAGCTCCAATCTGAATAGCTACAAACCAAGAATAGAAATAAAAGCTTGCATTTCAGAAAAATAGTTTTAAAAATCAGCTTCATCTACAGTTACCCGAAAGGTATGTGCAAAAACAACAACAGCAGAACAATGAACTTAAGTGTGCCATCAATCCTAACAAATCCACACATCCACGACCATTATACCAATGTATTATCTTTATTTATTCAGAGACTGTTCTCCTTAGAAGGAACTTCCCTAAGGAATACTGTGCTACTCCTATCAACCCTTTCTGACCCAGCATTGATCCGCAGGAAATGCGGGCAGGCTTTGATCATTTGTAACTCCTGAAAGAAGGGCGATAAAACGAAATTTCAAATTCACAGCAGTTTCTGCAAGGAAACAGATAAGATTTCAAAAAGCAACACAGCCATGTTATCTAAAGGATCTGGAGAAAGAAGGGAGGAAAGCACTGCTGGCCAAACAGCAGCACTCTATTTTTAGTGACCCGGAAAAGTAAAAGCAAGAAATGCTGTCGGTTGGTTTTGGTTAAGATGTTATTGCTCAGGTCAGGAACTCTACCTTTAAAATCTCCTAAAACTTATAAAAAAAAATTGAAAAGCTTTCAATTAAGCCATAAGTCTCTGTGCATCCCATTTCATGCAGGCTTTTTAGAGGCACAAAAAGTGTGCTCATGGATATGAATGAGATAAAACCTCCAAGTTTAACTTACTACAGACTGTCTCTTTGTTCTGTTTTTAGACAGATGTCCTAGGTTATGATGTAAGATGTGCGCGTACAGAACAACTAGGTTGTGGTCCAGAACTGTAGGTTCTGACATCCTGGGGTAACACAAATGATATTAACACTTAAAAGCAAATTGTCAAAATCTGTTAGACAAAATTCCTAACAAAGAAAGAAATTAAGAAACCACCACATAGCTGGTTTTGCTAGAATAATTTGAGAGTCTGGTGAGAGTTACTGTAAGATATTTTACACCTCTGAGTAAATGACAGAAAAAAGACACTTTTGGCAAGAGAACAAACTTTTTTAAAAATTATTTTTGCTAAAAATCCCATTTATGTGTGTAATTTTAGACAGTTTTATTAGTAGTACTGAACCTATATTATGGTAGCATGCAAAAGCCTTCACCTTCTCAAAACGAATTTAGAAGTTCATTTCTATTCCATGCTACAAAAACAAACAAATCAATTATTACCTCATGCCTGTTGTTCTTTTTATAAATTTAATTATGGATTAAAAATAAGAATCTTATAAAGTTCACTTTACCTGTAAATGCCTTGGGCTTTACAATCACTGAATCAGGTCCGCTGGAGAGTATCGGCCTTTTGATATTCACATCGCTTGGACAACAACAACAAAAAATTGTAAAATTTACAGGTAGCATTAATATCATTTTTTTCTTAATCCACTTCAAATAAGTGCATACGACTCACACTGAGAATTTTTCACTTTAAGTTTACTCTACTTCCTATAGCTGAATTCATTCTGCTCTAATTTCCTCGAGACCACTGCCACTATTCTGAATCAGAATTCAAAATTTCATCGCACTAGGACACAAATCTTGTGGGCGTTTTTACTGGCACAAACCTAGATGAAGCCATCGAGCTATCAGAAGCCTGCAAGAAGCTTTGGGGGATTTACCACAAAAATGGGAAGCTCCCAGCTTGTGCTACGTGTACCACTGCCAGGGGACAAACCACTGAAAGGGTCTGCTGATGCCACTTCTCCCAGCGTTGCCAGCTCTCTATAGGTGCTTACCACCTATACACACCTCTGATGAGATAGTTACATACCTCGGATGAGATAGTTACCACTTTCAGCTCCTGTAAACCCACAGCCCGCTCTGCAGTACGCAGCGGAGCCTGCGGCAGCCCAGCACCACCACCACCTGCAACTCTAGCCTCTAAACACCAAGAAACCTCAGAAGTATTTGTTTGTGGACATCAATGAATTCTAATCATTTTGCATAGGACACATCTCACTCGTACAGCTGTGACACGCAGAGATTCGGTACTAGGCTCTTATTCTGTCTTTTGTTGCTGTTTTAAGGACAATCCTTGTACAATGTTTTTCTCTATTTGAGAAAGAAATGATTTTGGAATTTCTATAAGCCATTTCAGTCAAGGATCTCAGAGCTGAACAAAACAAGCAAAAAAAATTCCCACTCCCATTTGGAAACATCACCAATCAGTATCAGCCATATTTTACAAATGAACTGCCCAAGACACAGGAACTCAAAAGATCCACTTACAAAATTGATAAAGAACAGCCAAAAAACAATTCCACTGATATTTACTTCTGATTTCTGGTCTTCAGTTACAAATATACACACACGCACATTCCTAATTAAACTATTTGGAGCTGCTACTCTAAAATCTTTCCCAATTTAAGCCTCAAGTTCTGAAACGCTTTCCTTTAACAGCTTTTTGGTGAGCAAGGCAGTAGCCCACAACTCCAATTCTGACACTACGCAGCAGCTGACTTTGTCTAATTTCAGCTGAGGGCATATACAGAAGCGGTCCTATCACGCCTACCCATACACTAAGAGATGTATCTTATTAAAATGCTGAATGCAGATGACTGTGGAACTAATTCAGCTCGACACTATATAACATGCACAGATCATTTCCACTTGCACAGGTATCGCTCAGCAGTTTGTTGTGCCAGGTGTTTTCTTCCTAAGTGACTTAAAATTATTCCTAAGATTTGAAAATCACACTGAGCAACAAGGAACATGTTGCATTACACGTAAGATGACTTTTGGTGAGGATAAAAGCAATCGGTATTTTGTGTAAAAATAAGCCTAAAACCCAGACATTTTTTGGGTAGTTCAGACTTGGCCAAAAATACATCTCAAAGCATTGTTATTGCTATTTCAAGCGTAGGTGTGGAAACAGAAAATAAGGAAACAGTCCCCAAACTGCCACCAGGTTTAGACAGTATGCTCTTGGGAAATTTAGCAGGTGAACCAGGGTTGATTTCAAAGCACAAAGAGAGAACTACACTCCCAAGTTTCTTTAGTTTAAGATTACTGTGTTCTTGCACGGCTGAATAGAGGGAAGAGAATATTCACCAACTCACACCAAACACCTGCTCCTGCAGATACACACCTACCCCTAAGGCAATCTGTCACATTTCACCAATAACCTAGAGTTTGTCTTTAAAAAAAAATTAGTTAACTGAATATATGTAATTCAACAACACACGTACCTTTGGAAAAAGAGGCTTTCCTCGTGTGTCAGAAGACCTTTTTGATATCCACCCTTGGCATGGCTGATTCGGCTGGCACAGGACAGTTTTCGAGGCTT